ATTGATTTTAATTTTCTAAACGTTAAACTATGCGAAGATATAATCTATTGCATTTTGGAGGTTTTGAATGGCTCTTTGCAGATTGATAGATTTGCTGAGAACTGCAGTATCGTCTGCATAGCAGGCGATAATGACATCTTTGTGGCTGGGAAGATCATTTATGTAGATGCTAAAAAGAAAAGGCGAAAAATTCGAGCCCTGATGGACACCTGCTTTCATTACACTGATATTAGACAGCTCGTTCTTAATATGAACTTGAAAATTTCAGTTTTCCAAAAAACTTGAAATCAGGAGGATTAATCCATCATATTATAACTCAGAATGAACAAAATTTATATCATTTGAAGAATTATCTAATCGTTTCCACATGTTCTACTCAAATACTATAATAAATCTACAACGATGTATAAAAGAAATTAAGCAAACAAAATTTTTAAAAAAATCAGTTTTTCACAGATGATTCAGTATTTTTCATTCAATTAATTGAGTTCTCACTTCGCGACAAGGCAAAAATACATAACAACTCAAAATATCTATATTAAAAATTATGAAGTAAATCTTAAACACTTTTTTCCTTGAAAAAATTCCAGAAGGGATTAAGCATGATTTAATTTGCAATAATAAATGATGGCGTTATCTTTGCTGTTGCGAAGCTTAGTCATTCTAGATTGGCAACAAATCTACTATTCTTCTGTTTCAAATGTAAACAAATATGTCCGCCATGTTATTTAAAAATTAGACTTAACCACACTTAAACAGCTTTTAAATTGTTGATAATTCTATAGATATTACTTGCAGATTTTCTAAAGACAAAAACCTTAACCGGAAGATAAGAACAACATAATTCAATCAATTTTAAAGCAAAAAATGCACAATTTACAAACATATAAGAGTCAAGAAACTGAGCTCACTGAACCGGGTTACAGAGTGAATATATATATATAAATATATTTACATACATTTGGTCCCTGCAATCAAAATATGAGGTGAACATCTACATGTTATAGCAGTCCTATATACGAAATTTCAACGTTCTGAGGCTACTCGCTTTTGAGTTATGCGAGATACGTACGTTCGTACAGACGCCACGAAAAATTCTCTTCAGAATTAATTTTAAAGCAGTTTTATAATTTTTTTGGAGGAAAGGTGTCTTTTATTCTGTCCTTATGCACAGATATCACGCAAAAACAACGTTAAATTGCATTCGATAGCGGTCAAAATGGATATTTTTGTTGAAATATGTTGTCTGAAACTTTTCACAATTACAATACTTCCTTTTTACTTCGTACAAAGAAGTAAAAAGAAGAAAATGTTTTGAATCTTTTATTCTGTCCTTACGTACAGATGTCATGCCAAAACATCGTTAAATTGCATTTTGATAGCGGTCAAAACGGATATAAATATGCTGCCTGATACTTTTCGTGATTACAATACTTCCTTTTTACTTCGTACAAGGAAGTAAAAAAATAAAAATTGGATTTAAATCAATAATTAAAAGGAAAATAACATATTGTAAATAAAGGAAGAATAAACATTCTTTGAAATGGAGAAATGAAGATTTAAACGACATTAGTATTTATACGAAAATACGACAATGTCACAGAGTTCAAACTTGTACAAAAAAGTCACTTCTTCCCCCCATACAATGGTTATACATTGCAGATTAAGTATAATTAAATTGTCTACTAATGTGAATTTAAAAAAAGTCCCAAATATTATGACATAAACTGCTATCTCTTTTATTAACACATATATTCTGCCCTTTTTGTATAGGATGCAGAAGAAAAAATTAGCTCTATATTCAGCAGGTTTTGTTTTATTGCATGTCGAACAAAGTTATGCAAATCAGTCAAGGTTGCAGGCCACAAGACTTCTTCCTTTCAGTATACCCACAAAAAGAAAATGCATGCCAACAAATCTGGCAATATGCTGGCCACACAACATCACCATTATGAGAGATAATCCTTCCTGGGAATATTCTGAGAAGTGTCATCATGCTTGGATTGGCTGGGTACAGTGTGGCTCCATCTTGTTAAAAACAAACCTGTCTAACATGGGACATTCTCAGTTGTGGCTCTACAAAATTTTCGGGCAGGTATAACATTCACAGTGTGTTAATTTCCATCTTGAAAGAATTACAGGCCAATAATTCCATTCCAGCAGACACCACACCATACTGTTATTTTTGGCCTATGAAAGGGCACCTCATGAATCGGACTTGGATATTCAGTTGCCCAATAATAACGACTGTGCTTATTGACACATCCAGTGATGTGGAAGTGTACTTGGTCAAACATGATTAATTTATACAGAAAGTATGTGTCCCCTTCCATTAGTCCCATCAACCTGCAGCAAAACTGAAATGCATGCATTATAATCTTGAGGATGCAGTGAATCAACTGCAGTTTGTATGGATGAAACTGTAAGACCTAGTGTAAAATACTTCCCATAGTGTCTGACATGTCTAGTGACATAGCATGGCTACATGAAGAATGCCTGGTACTTCATAGCATTGCCTCTTGCACATTCTCTACATTTTCCTGTGTATGTACAGAATGTGGGGGACTTGATAACTTCTTTATCATGGCTGAGGCAGTTCCTCAGGAAATTCTTAATTCAGAACAATTTGTCACATTGGCATTTTCCTATTTTCTCCTAATATGAAAATGAGGCCTGAACTTACCCTGCATCGCTGCTGCAGAGATCTAGTTTAAAAAAAAAAAAAAAAAAAAAAAAAAAAAAAACCACAACACTAGCAAACACACAATGTTTATTAGATCAATACAACATGGTAGTGACAAAGTGTGCAAGAAACTTCATATAACTGTGCATATGCATTATTTCAATGAATCACACTGCATGCCTACTAAAGACTTTGAATCTTTTAACAAAACACAGCAAGAAACATAATGCTAGCTATTGCAATGTGTCTGTCCTGCTAGGTTAAAATCATCTTACTTTTTCTATTGCACCCTTTATTTTCTAAAGGCAGTTTTGTTTTACACTGATGGTTTGTGAGAGTCATTTTTTTTATCAATCCACAATAAACAACTTAATTGTTTTTAAAACAAGACACAGTTAATCTGCTTTTGTTTAATGAGCAGTTGGCTGTATCATGAAAATAATCTTTACAAGCTGTATCAATAATTAATTTTTAAAAGTAATTAACTTTTTAGTTAATTTAAGCAAACTAATTATGTAATAAAGAAGTGGGAATACAGTTTGGTTGAAATTATAATAAAAGAGAAATGAAAATTCATACTGTCATTCGCTGAATGATTCAAAATTATCTGATCATTAATTCAGAATGAGTAATTTATAAACTCCATATAACTTCAGAAAAAGAAGAAAGCAAATGCAACTAATTTTTAAATAACGTATTTTTGCACGTACAAGCCACACTTTTTTTCACAAGAAAGCAGAAGAAAATCAGGGGTGCAGGCTCATACAGGCAAATGATTAGAAATTGTTGTATAAAAACATGTGGAAACACAACAGCTTGTTTTAACGATAGAGTATGAAATTCAACGTTGTTGGGTAAGTGTAATTAATATAGAACAACAGAAGTTTAGTTGTGGTTGAAGGTCATTTGAAGGAAAATGTCAGGCAAATGATTTAGTTACCATGCACATTTTAAATTGCATGTTATCCACTCTCTCAAGAAAATGGGAACCAAGGAGTAGCACATCGTTTTTAAGTGGGGGAATCCAGCATGCAATGGTGGAAAAAGGTAACAGAATAAACTTCATGGAACTGGTGACAAGATCAAGGCACTTCATGGAAAAGAGTATCTGCAGTTGGAAAAACTATATTTTATCATATGTTAATGAGAAAAGAAGTTCTGGTTATGCTGTAAATGTTGTTATGATACACTTTTAAGCTTATGAAGAAACTCATCAGATGGAGATAAGCTGTAATTTTTGAGTAAGTGCAGGGTGGTTGGCACATTTCATACATAGAAATGATTTGCCCCTATATCATAGGATCACAGTTGCACAATGTCTTCCAGCAGACTTTGAAAACAAAATTTTGAAATTTCAGAGATACATTTGCAAGTGTCAGGCTAATTCCTGAAACTGGTAATGCAGATCTGGTAAGTCTAGCAGAGTTGTTCCAAGAAGCTCATATGCAGTAAGAATCAAGGCTGCAGGTGGTGAGAAGGAGCAATGTATAGTTATGGCAGAATGGAAGAAAACAGCCACCACAGACTGTGTTAAAGAGTAAGACTATATCAAAAGACATACCATCAGACATTTTTGCACATGCATAGGAAAGGGCTAGGTGCAAAAAAATCTCGTATTGGACCTCCTAAAAACAGTTTGGAATAGAAGATCCGATAGTTTGCTGAACAGCCTGCTAGTTTGGAACAGCTTCACACACACAGCTAGTTTGGAACAGCTCACAGCGATATCTTAAGTTTTTAGGAAACTGCATGAGTAAAAAAACTGATACAGCTGTGCTTCCTGGAGGTTTAAATTCTATGCTCCAAGCCCTTTATGTTACTGTCAACTGCTTCAGTGTAAATTCGTTTCAAAGACTTTATAATAATTGGATGTGCAAAGGAAAACATGAGCTTACACCAAAAGACAGAATACAATGTCCAAGTGGAACAATGTCTGTGCACAGATTCTTGCAGCCTGGGAAAGTGTCAAGCCTGATATATGATATAATCTTTGAAGGATTTTGAAGTCAAGCCTATCCAATGCTCTGAGGATGACATGCTGTGGAACACTGGTACCAACGGTAGTGATACAGGTGCTGCAGACAACTACTCTAGTGGTACTAACTATGACAGTGAACAAGAGGTACTAAACACAAAAACATGTTTATTATCAATTATTTTGACATAATAATTTTAGTGCATGGTAAGTACTGTTTTCATTCTAAGTGCTTTTATACCTCCAAACTGAAGAAGATATTATACATCGTATACAGGCTATCCACAACTTATCCTTAAGAATTTTTTTTTTTCAAAATTAGAAGCAAAATAGAAATTTTACCTTTATCTCTATCTCTAATAAGAAGTTCAATTTCTCGTCCCTGCCTTTCATATTCTCTTTGCTTTTCTTCTATTTCTTTCATTTCTTGTAAAATTTCTTTCAAGGGGATTTTTTTCATCTACACAATATCAGAATTAACATGAGTTATTGCACAACATAAATACATCACACTTTGTTGAAACCTGATCATATAAAATAGTGATCAAAATCACATGGTATTTTCATTAAAAATCATACAGAAGTAATACATACATGATTAATATGTTTTAAATACAGATTAAACAATAGTTATAATAAGGTATTGATTTTTACAATTTCTTTTGCATTAGAACTTACATAGCAGATGTTTTCATATTGATGGAAATTTTTTTCAGATATGAACATATTCCACTTCTTAATTATTTACAATATTTTTCTTATTGGACCACAGGCTTAAGTTCTAACAAATTTTTAATTTCTTTCTTTGTATATGTCAACTTAGTTCCTTTCCCCTTTAAATGAGTAAATTAGTTATAAATAAAAGAATTGAAATCAAACCAGTTATAACGGATCACAATGTGAAGCAAAATGTTTGAAAGATTACCATTAAGAAGGGAAAAACTAATTAAAAATTTGCATTATTATATTATACATTCCCCCCCTCAACTACAGAATCTTTAATAAAGCTCCTCATTCCAAAAAGAAATGCAAACAGCAAAGAAATTAAAAAGAATTCATAATGATAATGACAGTGAATTCTTAGCTAAAAGTATAAAAGAATTTTTTGGAAAAATGAGAATTAAACATGAACTTCCAACACCTTATACACTGGAGAGTAATGGGAAAGCTGAATGGTTTAATCATGTTATAATCAAAACTGCTAGAACTATGTTAATTGATGAACGGTTATCAGTAAAATTTTGGAGTAAAAGTGTTAAAACACCTATATATGTGAATAACAGGAGTCACAAAAATAGACAAAAAGTTTACACTTTTTGAACTATATACAGGATGCAAGCCTATTATTACTTATCTTCAAAAGATTTTGATGTGAAGTGTATGTTCACATAAGACAAGAAAATGTAGCCGAATCTAAGAGCTAAAAAAGGAATGGTACATGAGTGGATGAAGGGAAAAACATACAAAATTTATATTCCTGAACTAAATAAAATTCAAGAAGTGAGTGATTTAAAATTTAATGAGCAGAATCTGAAATCAGCTGTACTGAGAAGAAATGATTTAAAATTTTAAAAAAAATAATATATTAGAAGAATTTATTATTTTCTACAAGGAACAAACTAATACCAATGAAAACAAAAATAATAGAGAGAGATCAGAGAAAACATGATATAACAGATCAAGAATCTAAAGAAATTTTACCATCAAACCCAAATGATGAACACGACAAAAACTTCTTTGAAAATGCCAATGTTAAATTCCCTTTAAGTAACTGAAGAACCTAGAAATGATGATCATGGAATCTCTGTACTAGATCAGCAAGAATGACGAAGACAGCAAAAAAAAAAAAAAAAATTAAAGATTATATATTATACAATACAAATGAAGAATTAATTAAGACATATGAGGAAGCTGTGGAATATCCAGAAAGTCAGTTTTGGCTACAATGCAATAATAAAACTGTGTTCAGTGGAGGTTATTGAACTTTGGGAATTAGTTGAATGACCCATTGATAAGAAAGTTATTAAAAGCTATTGTATTTTCACTAAAAAGAAGGAAAATGGTAATTTAGAGATAGTTTACAAACCAACCAGATTTAACCAAAGAAAAGAAATTAACTATGAAGATGAATTTAGCTCAGCAATAAGACATGCAGTAAGAGCATTGTTATTAACTGCAGTTTACAAACACTACAAAATAAAACTTTTTGATGTTAAAAACTAAAAAATAAGATTTTTTTATGCTTGCATATTTAAATGAATAATTGGATATTCTAATTTACATGGACCAACCACACATGGATTTATCTCAGATCCCATTAAAGTATATCTTTGGATTACCACAAATGGAAAGATGCCGGTATATGGAATTACGGAAAGTTCCTAAGAAAAGAAATTTAACAAGATCAGAATTAGATTTACACATTTATATTCATAAAGATAAGCTCAATAAATTTATCATAGCAATATATGTGGATGACTTAATGATTATTCGAAATTCAAATTCTGAAATAGATAGCTTCATTTCTCAACTTTCTAAATCATTTACTTTACAAAAAGTCACTAAAACACACAAATTTTTAGGAACTGACATTAGACAAGAATCTGAAAATCTTTTCCTCAGTCAAGAAAATTATATAACTAAAATTTTAAAAAGCATTCAAATGAATGAACATAAACTGACAAGACTCCATGAAAAGTGGGTGAAAATCTTGATGATGTAGCATCAAAATATCAAAAAACATTAGGTTCATTGATGTACTTAGCAATAGTCACAAGAGCAGACTTAGTTTTCCCCGTTAGTAATTTATCAAGATATAATAATGATTTTAGAGAAAATACTGGAAAGCAGTGAAGAAGCAATTTATATATGTTAAATGAATACAAAGTGAATATTTAATATGCATATAAGACAACGGAAAATTAAATGCTACTTCAGATGGAAACTTTGATTCTGGACATTATTTTATTCAATTAGGTAAAAATGTCATAAATTGGAAATGCAACACACAAAGAATAGTTGCTCAGTCTTCAGTGGAAACTGAACTTTTGGCATTCTGCAAATGTGCATGTGAAATTAAATGATACATCTATTTGCTTGAAGAATTGGGATAAGATGATACAATTGACAAACCAACAGAAATTAAAACTCACTGTCAAGCATTAATAGATTGGATTTAAAAAATCCCAAACAGAGCAACAGTTAAAGGTAGATTAACACAAAGTATTTGTTTGTAAAAGATGATTATGAAATGAATCAAATCATTCATCAGTTTTACTTTTCTATAAATCAAGAAGTGGACATTCTATCAAAATATCTATCTAAGGTAAAATTGAAAGATGAACTTTTAAAGTATGGACACAATTGAATAATTAAAATTAAGTCTTTTAACAAAAATAAGGGGGTATTAATTATATTTGTTTAGAAAAGTATAATTTTAAGTCTTAATATTTAGCAACATTAATGTTTTTCTTGGTTGTTAAAGACTGAGTTAATGTATCTGGCATCAGTAGAGAATGTTATGGTTTTAGAAAATGAGGTAGTGCTTGTTATAATAAAATGTTCTATGATAAAATTTTTTATGCATTAATTTTTAATGTTTCTTTTGAAGCAGATGCTGTTTAGAAAAAATAACATTTAGAAAATTTATTGAAGGGCCAAAATATTCTCTCATGTGCAATGACAAGTTCAGTTTCCTTTATTGCAAAGTCAATCATTATAGATGAGAGAGACTGCAGATTACTATAGATGAGAGTGAGACACAATTCTAGGGAAGCTATAAGTTATTAGATTTTATAACTGTGAGTTTAAGATATTACAGAAGTTAAAAATAAAATTTCCATCCACATATATGTGTATATTATTACTGAGTAATATAATTTAACTGTTATAAGCAAAACGTATATTTGCTTATTTTAGAAGTAAAACAACAAAATTCAGCATTATATTTGCAAATTTTCCAGCAAATTCAATGCTGATTATTATTCATTTGTTGTTTGACTTCTAAAATAATTGTTGTTCAGCGTGTCATATAAATATATTTGCTTACCATCAAACAGCTTTAAAAATACTAGAAAAGCAATGCAAACAAATGAAAAAATTATGTTAAGAACTAAGATATTCTTAAAAATGCTAGATGGCATCAAATTGAAATATTTATAAATACAATTATGGGCATGGTTTCAATGGATATTAAAAGATAGCACTGTTTTACCTAATGAAAAACAATATAGAAGCCCACACTGCTTCACGTGAGCTCGAACATTTCTGGTAAAATGGAACGATACATAATGACACATGATAAAAAACAGATTACCTTTAATTTACATTAAAAGTGGCTGAATGCAAATACAATGAACATGCTTAAAGTAATTTTCTATATCCATTCTATTGTTCTTAAATTTAAATGAATATTATGTAAGCAAAATAAATATAAATTTCACTTATATATTTTTCAGAAAGTTAACTGGAATAATCACTGTAGTAAAATGTAATTTTATTAATAATATAACTGCAACAACTGGCATAATAAATTCATTTATTATGTCAATATTTATGGTGCCATTCATTATTATTCATTATTATTGTAACAGAATAAACTCATTTATTATTATCATCATTATTAAATGAATTATCAGATGATAGAGTTTAAAATAACAGCAGATTATTTAATATGCATCTGTGCCCTCTTTTTCTCAATTAGTACTGAATACCAGAAATATTATTTTCTAAAGCTGTTATGGCATACTATGACTACTTCAGTCAAACTGGTCTTTCAGTAAAAGTTTGAAGCTAAAGCAATATAAATTTAATAAATATGGAGCATTAAAATTTTAAGTAATAAATACAGAGCATAAAGCATTACAAATTAAGTAATAAAGATGGAACATATTACTAAACCCTTTGACTATGAATTTTTAAAAAAATTCACCCTGTTTTTTATCCAAGTGAACAAAATAAATCATAAAACAGTAACGAAATATATCATAACGGTAAATTTAGCATTTGGGATTTTTTGACAAATGGCTTTCAAGACAAAGGCTGGCACACATCTGCCCCAGCCATAGTTAATGGTTGGATACATATGTCCCACACGTAGCGATCGACTTACTATAAGCACACCTATTATTCTGGAAAACTTTATCATATAAAAATGATTTTACATCATATGGTACAGGGAAAAGCATACTTTGCATACTCAACACTGGGCAACTCGCATTTGTTCTTTTCTCTACATTCATTTGTGTACAATGAGCATAGCGGCGTCTTGATTCTCCTACTATTGGAAGATGATCCCAACATTCAGAAGATTCTAGGTACTTTTTAACCCAGCAGTAACTTTTAATGGGACATATATGTCCCATTAGTAGTCAAAGGGTAAGTTATGAAAATGTTTCACAGATATCAATTTCTTAAAACTTACCACTTATTTTAAGCCTTTCAAGTTTAGAAAAAATAAAAAAATTTAATTTAATATTTTCTGTTAACTTTAGTTCTTGAATATATGCATTAAACTGAGTTTTTATGGTAAATAATAAATAACAAAATTTTTTGGTTTACTATTAAATAATAAAACAATACCAAATTAAATATCTTACATCTTTTCGAACTGGTATCGGTACAGGAGGTGCTGGCCTTTTTTTCTTTTTGTATTGTTTTGGAGGCTCTTTTTCATTACTACCCTGGATATCTGAAGCAGAAGACTTCAATTTCATATTATCAATTTCTTTCATATGCTTTGAATTTGCTGCAGAATCATTCTGTGAATTTTGTTTAGTCGTCTGAGTAGGTGGTGGTGGAGGTGCTGGTTTATTTTTTCGAATCTTAGGAGATGGTGTTTGGAGACTTTTTTTGCTTAATGAAGGAGATGGTGTTTGTTGAAGCTTTCTGCTTACAGAAGGAGAAGCTCTTGATGAACTCAGAGAAATATCAGCTTCAGAATCCATGGATTCATTATGAAAAATATCACTTAGTTTTGGTGGCCTTGGTGCTGGCCTTTTCTTAGTTGTACCTCTTAAAGATCCAGTTGGAGAAGATATGTATGGATATGAGCCATTTTGTTGGAAAGGAGACCTATCTTGATGCACTGCTTTTGAAACCGGAGAAGTATCTTTTGCTGACATATCTTCTTCCTCTTCATCAGAAGCAAAAGGATTCTTTGACTCATCATAGTCATCCACTAAAACAGCCTTTTTAACAAAACTACTTTTTTTATCACTTTTTTCCTCCTCTTCACCATCATCACCAAAAGGATTCAAATCATCGGGATATTCTTCATCATGTTTATCATCTTCTTCATCACCAAATGGATTAAGATCATCAGGATAGGATTCACCAGAATCTGATAATTTTGTTTCTTTTACTTTAGGTACTTCATTTTTCAAGGATTTATCAATTACTGATTTGAGTCCTTCATCATTTTTGGTTATGGAACTATTACTTAAAAAAGTCTCTTTCAGATTTTTATGCAGATTTTCACCAAATCTGAGTTGATCTTTATTTTCAGATAAGTTCTTGTTCTCAGCATTTGAAAGATTACTTTTACGAGAGGTTAACTTCTTTAGTTCAAGGCTGGATCTAACTGCAGGAATAGGTGTAGATGTAGTATCACAAGAAATAGAAGCATTTTTTTTTACAAGTTTTTCAGTTTTAACATCAGTACCCCCAACTATATTATCAGCTAATGCAACAGAATTTGAACGTTTTATTTCACTTAAAGAATGGGCTCGATCAAATGTTTTACTTGGTATTTTAAATGATGCAGCATGGCTTGATTCCTCGGTAGATGATTTATCTTTCACACTGGATTCTAAAGAACTTCTTCTACGAGTAGTTCTACTCCATTTAGAATGGAGTATGTCATTCAGATCAGTAGTAGAGTTCTTAGTAATGTTAGATATTTCTCTGTTTTGAAGATTACTAAAACTACTCGGCCGAGGTAAAGTTACAGAATAAGTAGACTTTATGGAAGGTATTTCAAAGTTCAAAGATCTAGGTGAATCTGCTGATGCAATTGAAGGAGTAGTCGACAAGCTAGAAGACTCTTTCTTGCCAGAATTTTTAACAGATGGTATACTTAATTTTAAAGGTTGCATACTAGTCTGAAAAATGTCTCTTGGTGCTTTTTGAGGACTTTTGAAATCACTTTTTAATGAAGGTTGCTTGCTAAAAGATGTTGAACTTGTATCTAGATCTTTTGAGACAGGTTGCTTTGCAACATCATTATGTATATTAGACATATTTTTTGCATTAGTACTAGGCACTTTGTTCAGGAACAATGACAAAGAACTATCACAATTCGTTCTATATTCCTCTTTAGGGCTAGCTACTGTAGATTGTATACTAAGGGATAAAGATTCTTTTTTAACACTATCTAATATTTTAACATCTGTGTTAATGCCTTGGTTTGATACTTTTTTTATAGAAGATTTATATGAAATTTCATCAAATTCACTATCAACAAGTTTATATTCCTGTGCAAAATCAGACAGTTTATGAGATCTATCTGAGGGTTTAGGAGATTTAGTTAAAGAAGAAAATGTTTCTTTAGCTAAAGGTATTGAAGAAGTATGAAACTTGTTGTTATTTGAAGAAATTGCAGCTACAGGAGATGATGATACAGCTTTTGGGACTGTGCTTGATTCAAATGCGTTTATTTTATCTTTCACTGAAACAAAAACAAACAAAAATATATATATATAATAAACTTCATAATTATAAAGCCAGCATTTAAATACATAACAGCAAATACACTAATTTCTTTTAAATTATTAAAACTATCAGTAAATCCATTTTCAGTTTACAGAATGCATCAGGTATAATATAGTACACATATTTTTAAGGTAATTTTACAATTTCATGCAGAATAATTTAAAATTCAACAAAGAAAGTATCATTTTCATTCATCTCAATATTCATATTTGAGCTGCATCTGCTTTAGGTGAGAACTGTAAGCAGGAGTTGCCGATTTATCATTGAATTTGTATTAATCAGTATAAAAAAATTCAGCTGAAACTCCTAATATATATTCACATTTTAATAAATTTTTAAAATAATGCTTATAATGGAGAACAGGGTTTTTGATGCTGAAGTGAACAGGTAAAGTGTCAGCTGAACCTCTTTCAACGAATGTTGATGCCATCAAAAATTTTCCAGAACCAAAGTCATTTACTAGTTTAAGACAATTTTTAGGTATGGTGAATTTTTATTACAGATTCACACCAAATTGTGTGAAACTGCAACAACTTTTAACAACATTGCTCAGTTGTTAAAAAGAACTGCAGAAAAGAAATAACCTGGACAGCAGAAACATTCTGATACTGCCATTGGAGCCGTTTTATATCAGATTGTGAACAATGAAAAACAACCCTTAAGTTTCTTTTCCCGAAATTTGACACCAAGCACAACAAAAATATAGTACCTATGACAGAGAACTCTTAGCCAGCAGTGAAACATTTCAAATACATCTTAGAAGGACGACCTTTTGCAATATACAGGATCATAAACCACTAACATTTGCCTTTCAGTAAAATTTGGAAAAAGCTTCGCCACGGCAAGCTAGCAACTGTCATATATTGGCCAGTTCTCAACCGATATCCAATTCATACAAGGCTGCAGTGCTTAAATTGCGTCGGAGACCGGCTCTGGTACTTCTCAGTTTTTAAGATAAATTACAATTCTAGCTGGAGCACACCGGAGCCCTAAATAAGGTACTTCTTTTTAAAAAACTGAGCCTCCAGTACTTCTTTTTATAAAACTGAGCCACAATATCAAGGGAAAAAAATTAGAATTCCTAAGGTTTTAGTTTAACAATAAGCAGATCTTACAATACTCTATTTCCCTAGAAATACGAGCTCATGAGAACATGAGACGTTCAAGTAAAGTCCTCTCACTCACATGCAGAAACCTTTTCTGTTAAGAAGGACAATAAATTTGGGGGAGTTTCTTTAGGAACGTGTAAATTTCTCGCCATGCCATTGTATCAAGCGTATTGTTATCGATGGTTACAGTTAGTTATCCTCACAGGAAGGAAAATTTGTGTTCTTAAATGTGTGTTAAGTGACAGCGAGTACAATAAGAGTGAAATACTGAGATAAACTGCTGAAGAGCGCTCTCTACATAGTCTTCCCAGAGTATCCGGGGGGGGGGGGCAAAAAGCGTAACCAGCAACTTTGCATTTATCCTCAGGAGTCAGATTCAGAACTCATTTAACCCCTGACACATCTGCTTGATGGCTATAATTATATCAGCACAGCAAAGAGCCGCGGCCAAAGAGAACATTCTCTTTCACCAAGATTCCCCTCATTTTTTTGTTTCCACCCACTCATTCAGTGCCCTAAATAAGAACGTTTTAGTTTAACAATAAGCAGATTAAAACTTAAACAGTCATGTAGACTGTTTAAAAGTACCTACAGCTGACAATTTACTCTTTACAGCTTCAAAAGATGTGAAGAAAGCATGTATTTTTTGTTCAGGGAAACATGCAAGCTGAGACTGTTTTTCTGCTCAAAAGATGAGTTTAGCTGAGAAGCAGAATATTTTAAAAGATAAACAATGCTGCTTCGCTTGCCTGACAGCTGGACATCCAATTCGTAAGTGCAAAGTGTTTCTGAAATGTGTAGTATGTGGTAAAAACATGTGCCAGTTATGTGTGATACTCTAGATGCTCGAAACAAGAAATCTGACAAGAGTAATGAAAAATGTGCAAGTTCTGAAATTAGCATGTCTAACATCAGTTATGGCCCAAAGGTATTCTTTCAATCTATGAAAATAAAACTAGTGTCAGATAATAAGGAAGTACTTATTAGAGCAATCCTACATTGAGGGTCCTAAAAAACATATATATTGAAAAATCTAGCGGAAGAAATGGGATATAGTCCAGTAAGAAAAGAAACTCTTATACACTCTTTATTTGGAGGAACTGATTCTGAAAAATGTGAACACACGTGTTATAGAATCAGACAAAAATCCACAAAATAACATAATTTGTAACATGGAAGCTTTAGACCAGCCCACTATATGTGATAATATTACACCTGTTAGTTCAGGTCCATGGATCAAAGAGCTTCAAGAAATGAAGATAGCTTTGTCAGACATGGGTAAAGAGTCACAAATTGCTCAATTACTCCTTGGAGCTGACGTGATAGGAAAACTTATGACATGTCAGCATGAAATATTGACTTGTAGACTTGTAGCAATGGAAACTTCACTTGATTGGATCTTGGATCTTATCAGGAAAATTATCTGATAAACAGATATCTTCAATCAATGCTATACTACTAACTTCCCTTTTTGTGAAAGAAATGGATATTTCTGAAATGTGGAAATTGGATTCTTTAGGGACACAAGATTCTTCAGAACAAAGAACTAAAGAATTTTATAAGGCCTCTATCGAACATTTTTTAAGGACTGTTAAAGTTGATGAAGATCAACATTTTCTTGTTAGTTTACTATGCCTTGACGTTCATTTACATCTACCAGACAATTTTAATCTGGCACTAAAAGGGTTACAAGTGACCACCCATGTGCTTAAAATTGAGAATTTATATGAAGAATATGGAGAAGTGTTCAAAGAACTGGAGTGAGAAGGTATCATCGAAGAGGTTCCTAAAGAAGAAATTAAGTCATCTTGTCACTATTTGCTCCATCGACATGTGGTGAAAGCGAACAGTATGACTAAAATTAGACCAGTGTTTAATGCTTCTAAAGAAAAGGGAACTCCTAGTCTCAATGATTGTGTTGAGAAGGGACTGAATTTGTTAGAATTAATTCCTTCTGTATTAACAAGGTTTCACTAGTATAAATTTGGGATAACAGCTGATATACCCACAGCATTCTTGCAAACAAGTCTCGATAAAAAAGATAGAGATTTCCTCCAATTTCTGTGGTACGATGAAGATGGGAATCTCAAACATTATCGCCATCGCAGAGTTGTTTTTGGTGTTTTTTGTAGTCCATTCTTACTTGGATTAGCTATTCGATACCATTTAGAAAGGAAACTAGATGAAGCCAAGCAAGGGAATGAAAAATATTCTTAAGATATTATCCAACAACTGATGGTCAGCTTTTACGTGGATAATTGCTTGACTAGTGTGAAAACTGAATCAGACCTGAAGCAATTTATTGAAGTTGCGACTGAAATTATGGCTGAAAGAAAATTTGATTTATGAGGGTGCGAGTACACTAACCCATCTGAATATATAGCAAGTCCAACAAACGTTCTAGGAATGATGTGATACTCTTTCCATAAACATCCCTGATATAAAAGAAATAATGAACATAGTAATCACCAAAAGAAATATTTTAGCTTTTTTGCACAAAGCTTTTGATCCTCTCGGCATAACTGGTCCAATGACACTGCGTCCAAAACTCCAATGACACTGCATCCAAAACAGTACGACTAAAATTAGACCAGTGTGTAATGCTTTAACTTTTAATGACCAGTGCTAATGGCTACAAAACTCGTGGAAATTAAAAATTAGTTGGGATGAAGAAGTTGATACAAAAACACGCCAAGATTTTTTAAAATAGGCTAAATGAGCTTAAATATTTGCAACATGTTGAGGTGCCAAGATGGTTCCACTTCGATGAAGGACTCGAGCACATTTCATTACACTTTTTCAGTGACGTAAGCAAAATTGCTTATTCAACTGTAGTCTTTCTGCGAGTTGCTAGAGGAAGCACTCCTCATGTACAACTGGTACTGAGTAAAATTAGAATTGCTCCTTGTGGGAGAAAATAAACAATTGCTAGGTTGGAACTTCTTGGTTCTACTATTTCTGCTCGCCTTTCCTCGGAGATCCTAAAACAGTTTCAAGCAGGCTGTGTTTATTTCTGGACTGACTCTACAACAGTATTAGCTTGGCTAAAAAGAGGAAACTCGGGTGTATTTGTTCAGAAACGTGTTACGGAAATAAGGAATCCGACACCTCTTCAAGCATGGAGACACGTTCCCGGATTTTTTAACCCTGCAGATATGTCCAATAGGGGTTGTTTAGCGCAGTAGTTATGCAATTCAAAATGGTGGGAAGGTCCCAACTGCTTGTATCTTCCACCTTGTGAATGGCCAGGTACCGAAACAGAACTAGATGTCAATGAAGAAGAAGTACATAAAGAGAAAAGAAATCATGTCTTCTTTGGTAAATATTCAAGTAACAGAAATATGGAACGATTATTTTTCCATCTATAGTAGAAATATCAGAGTAGTGGGATGGATTCTGCATTTTCTCCATAACATTTCACCTGAAAACAAGTTAAAAGGTAATTTGAGTTTTGAAAAAAAAAAAAAAAAAACTTTTTTTCAAGTCTATACAGTTAAGGACTTTTCAAGACGAGAAGTTTCTTACAAAAATGAGAGCCTTTAGAGATAAAGAATGGCTCTCAGAATAAGAACTAAACTTGTGAACAGTCCTGAAATTGATGATTTCAGATACCCAGTTCTCTTACCTGCCTGTGATGTCATCCTCAAGTTAATCTGTGAAGAACATGGAAAAACAATGCATGCAGGTCCTTCAATCTTACTTGCCATGCTTAGGGAGAGGTTTTGGATTCCTACAGCTAAAACGTTAGTAAAACAAGTTCTTCCTAAATGTGTAACATGCAAGCGTTACAGATCTAAACCCTTGGAAGTTTCTTTCACTCCATTACTATAGATAGACTTACTCAGAC